TATTTTCTGTTACTGTAATAAATGTAAATTTTAGTGCAGTGACTCATGTCTGTAATCCCAGCACTTTGGGAGGCCACTTGAGGTGGGAGATCAAGACCAGTCTGGATAACGTAGCAAGACCCCACTCTACAAAAAAAATTAAAAAATTAGGCTGGTGAGATGGTACATGCCTACAGTCCCAACAATTAGGAAAGATGAGGAGGGAGGATCACTTAAGCCCAGGAGTTTGAGGCTACAGTGAGCTAGATGCTACCATTGCCCTCCAGCCTGCGTGATACAGTGAGAGACTGACTCTTAAAAAAACAGGTTATGCATGTGAAAAGTTTAAGTAGTAGAGTTTACATAAAATAATTGTCAAAAATTTCCAGCAAGGCTGGGCACGGTGTCTTACACGTAATCCTAGCACTCTGGAAACTGAGGCAGATGGATCACTTGGGCTCAGGAGTTTGAGAACAGCTTGAGAAAAACTGAGATCCTGTCTCTACTAAAAACAGAAAAAAAAACCCAGCAGGCATTGTGGTGGGCGCCTATAGTTCCAGCTACTTGGGAAGCTGAAGCAGAGGGATCACCTGAGCCCAAGAGTCTGAGGTTGTTGTGAGTTGTGATGCCACAGCTCTCTACCTAGGAGACAGAGTGAGAGACTCTGTTAGAGAAAAAAAGAAAAGCACTGTGAAAAGAAACTGTAAATTAGCTGTCAAAAAAAGAAGGTTGTAGGAAGTTGGAGAGACTCTTTACTGGCTTTGAAGATGTAGGATGCCATGTTTTTGGAGGGGCTTTTGAAGAATGCCACATGGCTAGGCTCTTGAGAGCTTTAACTGCTGATAGCCGGCCAGAAAATGGGGACCTTAATTCTGTAGCTACAAAGGTGAATTCTGCCAACCACAAAAGGAAGCTTGGAAGACACTAAGCAGTTTATAGCACAGATGAGGGCACCCCTCTTATTAGTAAAGGGACTGCTCTTTTGTAGTTACGGTTCCTGGAGTTCTGGAGTTTAGGTAGCTAGAGATTTACCAGTTTTACCTTGAAGTTTAGGTATAAGTCAGTGCTCACTCTCATGCCACTTCTATTCACCAGGAAGTTCGGTACAGTTCAACAGAAGGGGAAATAAAAAGATATACAGATGTGAAAGAACTGTCTTTACAAGTGACGTGACCATATTTGTAGAAAATCCTAAGAAATCTGTACCCCTAAAAAACAGTAGAGAAAGTGAGTTTTTTAGCAAGGTCGCAGAGGTCAAGGTCAATACACACTAATCAATAGTAATTCTGCATACTGAAATGAAAAATGGGAAATAGAAATTTTAAAATGAAGTTCAGGGAGGTGCCTGTGGCTGGCTCAGTGAGTAGGGCCCCGGCCCCATATACCGAGGGTGGCGGGTTCAAACCCAGCCCTGGCCAAACTGCAACAAAAAATAGCCGGGCGTTG